TTTGGTTCCAAGAAAAAAATCCGTACTAAGCAAAATCCGTTATATCAACGAACCGTTATATCGACTTTCACTGTGTACATATAATACCAAATAATGAAGTTTTGTACATACTAATACAAAGTGTTTTTCTCGTTTTGAATAAATACTTCTCTATTTCAATGGAAGATAATTATAGATCTATATTCAGTGTTATAATAATCGGGAATTTACTGCCAGGTCGTACAGGCTCAAATATTATGGGCTGTACGACCTGGCAGGTAAATTCCTGATAATCTTACAATCATTGGTGCTATCAGAGACATTGACCTTGATTGTCGACCTAACGTTTACATGCACAGTTACAATTTGGACTCAGATACAGAAAATTCGAGTGATCTCTTAAATGCAACAACCGCCAGAACTTCAGAACTGTTGTAACTGGACAAGTGGCAATGCTGCCATTGATGAGATTATCCGAAGGACTCAGCTGCAAACAAGAGACTTCTCCAAACATTGGGAATGGATTGATCCTCAACGTCTAGAGAGCATCACTCATTTCAAGGATGGCGGTTTTGGCTCGGTTTATGTAGCAGCATGGAAAGATGGGAGACGGAATTATAAAAATTGTACAATAAATGAAATGACCAGATCTGGACCTATGTTAGTGGTTCTTAAAACCACGCACGACTTTGATGAATGTTCACCGGCTTTTCTTAACGAGGTAATAATAGTGATAAAATTCGGATTAATACTGTTCTATCACAAGACTAACATGCAGAATTTCAGCTCGTAAACACATCAATTATATGTGATACGATTTTTATTTATGGAGTAACCAAGCACTCGAACAAATTTACATTGGTGATGGAATTATTTAATGGCGGAAGCTTGCGATCCTATCTTAAAAACAAAGAGATAAATCCGTTAGATGCTCAAACAATATTGTATTCCTTTACAAATTGTCTTGCTGAGTTACATTATATAGGCTTTGTTCACTGTAATCTTCATAGTGGAAACGTCTTGATTCGACCGTCTTTTGGCCCCCTTCCGGCAGTTAT